GGCGGGCGGACCTGCGGCTAATCTGAATGAGAATTTGAGGAATATCGGCAAGTTCTTCCGTCGTGATGTTGGCACTTTTGGGCGCTTTGGCCGGACGGACGCGGGGTAGGCGATTCGAGGTTGGTTGCTCGTGGTGTCGGCTCGAAAGAAGGGTGTGCGAAAACGCAGTGGAGGAGAGTATGTTGGGTTTTGTTCCGATTTTTTTTTTCCCCCTACCGTGTATCAAATATACCTTTGTTAGACTTGAATTCGACAACAGGCTGAGTGGTGTGCGGACTGAAATGTGCAAGACTAAGGCTGTGGACAAGCAAGAGAAATGAGGAGAGGGGTTGAAGGGGTCAGTAAGTCCAACCGAAGTTGCTGATGACAGGCGCAACTTCACTCCACCGGTGGAAGAGGGAAGCGGAAACAAATAGCATATTGACCTTGATCGACAGATCCTAAGCATCTCGAAAGAGAGGAGAGCGAAGTCATTGCACAACGAGCAACTAGAAGAATGTCAGTTTAAAGGCCATGGCAAGATCTTTTTTACCAGAGCTTTACTTTCCCGGTTGGGTCCGCTTAGTAGAATGATCACTTGGATTGAGGAAGGGACAGGTATTGGATGAGAAACTTGTATTGCCAAAGGGTACATGGCCTGCACATCAATATACAGATTCCGTGCGTTGACAGAAGGACATTAACCCCACGCTTCAACTCCACCACACTATCCGGTCTCGCCGTCTCCAGGACTTAGCGACCACCACCCTTTCCACCACCCTTTCCGCCTCCCTGTCCACCTCCCTGTCCGCCTGAACGCGATGGAGGAGTACACTAGCAATGTTAGACATGAACATGTTTGAATATCAGAACAGCGGACTTACCTGAAGACGGGTGACGACAAGAGCAGGGCCGCAGTCAAACGTCTCGCGAAGGTCACCGCAGTAAGCCTTCTCACCGTTCTCGAGCTCAAGATAAACACCCTCAATCTTGCTGCCGCCCTTCTCCTTCATGCACTTGTCGCTCTCGCCATTGCTCGGGTCATCACCGTTATCCTTCTTCTTCGGGCACTTCTCCTCGTCGGGCGAGACTGTCGAATGAGGGTTGAGGGCCTCGCAGTTGAAGAAGCGGACCTTGATATAGCGGCCCTGGTACTGGATGAGAGAGTCACGGGTGCACCAGGCGGTGTCACCCTTGCCGATGGTGGTTTTGGCGTTGCGGACGGGTTGGCCGCCGACCCAGGCCACGTAGCGGGTCTCGCCGTTCAAGCTGTCGAGAAGTCAATTTCTATTCTCACTATATTAATACGGGGTCCTGATGGACTTACGTCTCGAGACCAACGCGGTAGTCAAAATCCTTGACCTCCTCAGGGGGGATGATGTTCGGCTGGTCACCACTACCACCGCCGCCGCCCTTGCCCTTATCCTTTTCCTTCTTCTTCGAATCTTCTTGAGCGCTGGGCAGCGCGGCGGCGAGGCCGAGGAATGCCACGGAAGGAATGATCCACTTCATTATGAACACCGAAGATCAGATGCGCTGATATGGAGGATGCTGATAACATGCGGATAGAGATGCATTGGAAGGGAGAAGGACATCAATGTATATATACTCCATCCCTCTCCTCTCTCCGCAACGGCCGCACCCAAGGCACTTGCAAACAAGCCGACCCAGCTTCCCAGAGACTCTCAATCAAAAGTCAATCTGAGAGGCTTCGCACAGGCAAGCCTCGGGAAGCGCGGAGGGTCAGCACAAGCTGAGCAACAACCAAGCCTCACTGCCAATAGAGGTGCCGAAATTCAAAAAAAGAAAGTAGACTAAGTACAACGCAAAACATGGTTGAAGCCAACAGCACATAGACGGTGGTCCATGCGGTCGAGGGAAGGATGATGGGAGAGCGACGCTGAGCGTCTTGGAGCTTTGAAGTCAATTCAGACTTCGTCTCTGAGCAACTGGCAGCACCCCGACCATCGGCATGCTCATTGGCTGGTCGGCGGGCGTGGGGAGCTAAAAATGGTCGGAGGTATGAACAAAGGCCGTTGCTGGACGGGTGCTCCCAAGAAGTGCGCTGCTTCTGGCGGCTCTCAGTGGCCGGAATGAGAACAACAACCCCGCAGAAGGGGAAGTAGAGCCAGCGTCCGAGACGTTAGCGGAAGCCGTGCTGACATGCACGTATAAAGCTAGGTTAAAGGGATGCACCCATTCCGATTACATGAAGGAAGCATCGTCGAAGGTCGCGCCAAGTCCCCGCGAGAACGGATGAACGCTGTTAGCTGTTGGTCCATGTGTCTGCGCACTTAATGTCCGATTAGATTAAGGCTGCCACCTTAGCGGCGTGATGTCAGTTGGCCCCAGGGCGGCAGCCAGGAAGGGTTCGCATGTCCAGGCGGGAACGCGCCAAACACGGCCAGGGTTGTGCCCATTTGGCTCCGCGCGGCCACCAAACGACTCATCTGCGAGTGCTTTGGCAGAGCCTCCCTAGGCCGCCAAGGGACTCTCCCGCTTCTCCAACGCTGAACCCCGGCTCTTGTGCCAGTTGTCCGTCCACCTTCTAGAAGACCTCGCTAATGGAGGCACAAACACCGACATGTGGTGGCTCGTGGCTTTCTCCATCATTTCGACGTTGATACTGTCCCCGTCGAGTGCCAAAGGCTGGTCTGAGCGCGCTCCCATCTCCCGTTCTAGAGACGTTCTACGCTGCTTCTGCCGCGCCCGCACCCCCCCAATATACCTGATGCGACTCATGCCAATTGCCGAAATTGACGTTCGAATCGTGCCCTGCGCAAACAGAGTTGCGCCCTGAGGCCGTGCTGCAAGGGTCCTGGGTGCAACCAACTAGCTGCCTGACCTGACTGCCGCTCAACTTGCCCACTCTCCCCCCTTTCGACCATTATAGCCGATGCCTGCAGGCTCCGATAGACAATCGTGCAGCCGCAGTCTTCCGATTGCCGCAGCCATCCGACCATCAGGAACGTGCTAGTCGCCGTCTAGAGCCGTTGTTTGAAGAGGGACTGGGAAGTGCGAGGATCTGGGTGGCTAACGCCGACACTGGCCCACAATCCGGTCGTAGTCGTTGCTAACCGGTGATTTTCACGGTCTCGAGATTCTCTGATTTGTCGATTTGTTGGTTTACCTGACCGACTTTTGGGAATCTGTTCGTGTCGACCAGGTTTTCAAATGATGCGCAGCAGGCAGTCCGGCGCCTCATTCTGCCTCCACTTGCACATTGCCTCGGCCGCCCTTGAACGCTGCGGTTGAATTGCGAGCAGGGATATCTTGATGGCTTGCTTCGTGACCTCCTGCAGGCGGTGTTTGCTTTTGCTGCGAGCGGGTTGTGCAACAGCAAAGTCAAGGTGGAGCAAAAAGGAGTTTGTCGAAGCTGAGAGACTCTCCAACCTTAAGTCTGGCAAGTCGAACATTTCACGTCATCGATAAACCAAAAGCGTAGAAGCATAAAGCTAAAGAGCGTTGAGCATAATAGGTCGAGGCTTGGTAAAGGCTCTTGAGTCGTCCCAATTGAGGTCTGAAGAGGGAATAGACGGCGCGAGTGTTTTGTTGCTTGTTGTGTTTCTGTTACTCAGCATAGCCAGGTGGGAAACATTACCAGTCGTAGCGTCTCGAAGGCAGCTTTGCCGCTGGAAGCTTGCAGAAATCGCAGGCGTAGCCATGGCACGGACGATGCTCATATGACACCAAAGGCTCTCACAAGCTTGGCGATACGAGAAGCATGGTGCAACGGTCGCGATGCCGCAGCAAAAGAAGCCAATCGCCATCGCCTTGGTGACTGTCGGCGGAGAAAGTTGCATGGCTGGCAGATCATGACACGCCGCGACCCGCACGAGACGGGAGACCAAAATAGGCCACTTTGCAGTGATGAATGACCCAGACAAGTATTTTTCAAGGTCTTTACCGTCGCGAGCTGGTAAAGTGGCGGCTTCGGTCCATCGTTGAAGGGGATAAGTCATCACGTCCTGCTTCGCTCGGTTTCGGGTCTTATCTGCGAAAAGAACTGCATCAGCGTGTCTTTCTTTGAGAGGAGAATTAAGTGTTTACGACGCCAAAATATTTCACGTCTTTCAAACCACACACATGCCCAAATTGCCCTCCTCCAGCATCACGCAGCAAGTAAGGCTACACGCATGACCGCCTCAAAGAGTAGGACGGCTAAAGATAAGGCAATGTACCTAACCTGCAAACGTCGTATTTACCGTCGTATTTAAGCTCACTAGATCTATAGCCTAGTTTGGCGCAGTGACCCTTGGCACTGTCAAATGTTTAAGGTTGTTTTTGATGCTTGACGCAGTCAAGCTGTCCGAAGCGAGCGACCGCCGCCCGCAAAGTTCGGGACAAGTCTGGGCGATGCTACCGAAGCCCGAAGCGCATGACTGCGAAAGTTTGCTTGTAGACGCCTGCCGGAATACGAGGTGTTGGCGTTGTTGATGCCTTATTGCGGCAGTGTTGGCACCAGAACACGCCTTGTCTTGCTGTCGCCCACGTCGCTCACTTAGGTCTGGAAGGTTGGAGCAGATGTCTCACGCGGTTTGAGTGACATGCTGGCCTTTCGAAAGTGTTGCCAAGCGGATGGAGGAGGTGTCGGTAGGTGTTGGTGGTGGGTGCAAGAAGCGTGGCTTGGTAGCGACCGGGAAAAGCAAACGAGAATCTTCAAAGCCGCAGTCCGTCGCCAATGACACGAGTGGGTTTATGGAGCCTCAATCGTCCACATTTCAAGTCGCCAGGCGCTGATAATGCAGCGTCGAGCAAAAAAATCAAAGTGTCGCTTGTTGGATCCGGCGTCTGCAGCCGATGCAGCCTCGCGTGCGTTACGCCATTTCGCACCGGTCAAACTTCGGAAGGCAGTGACGTCGTCCACTAGCGCCCCTGCAACGGTTTAGCGCCCCGTTCTCGCCCATTTTGCAGCGCAAAGCTCCCACGCCTCAGAACACTGGCAAAACAACCCAAATTCAATCCCACATGCAATGACATAGTTAAAAATACTATAGAAAGCCTCACAAGGCCAAAAAGAATACCCCACGCGGGACTCGAACCCGCAGCCTCGAGATTTCGGGATTTTGAACGACTTAGAAGTCTCGCGCGCTACCATTGCGCCAGTGGGGCTTCGTTGTTGAAATTTGGTTCACTAAGCTGCATTATCATTAATAGTTTATTCTGGAGAGCATGGTGAGCTCCTAAACCAACATATTTAAGGCCTGGAGTGACTGGTGGGGCGTAATCGTCGAAGTGTAGGTAAGAAGAGAGAGACAAGCTTGGGTGCGGACGCCCGGGGCCGGGGGCGCAACGTCCTTATCAAAGCTCTCGCCTGTGACACAGTGATCCAATTGGTCCATTCAAGACAGCACGCAAGCACAGGCCGACCAATCAGCAACGGTTCGCTATTGCCATGCAAGTAAGCGTTGTTGCTGCAGGTACCGCGACTGACACTGCGCAGTACTCGGATTTTTAGCTGTCGTTGTGGCTTTGCTTTCTATTCCGCGTTTGTCTTGTTTGCGGAAAGATCCTCCAGGCTTACGGTGTGATAGGCTACTCGATTCGTTGCTAAATCGATCTTCTGGTCACTCTGAAACGTCATCGCTGCGGGCTTTGAGATCCCGCAAAGCACACCGGCAACTTCTCTATATTCCCACTATAATGATGGCTTCACACATCGCTGCATCACACAGATGCACTTCTATTGCCTGCTCACTAAAAGGGTGACTGTCTTTCGATGACTGAATTTCCTTCCGCATAGTGCGGTCGTAAAACTCCGTGGAGCTTGTTGGGATCTTTTCCGAAGAGAGTTTCACCTCACTGCTTGCACGATGATTGTTTTCGTGGCCAAACATCACCGCAACTGGCGGAGAATCTAGCTGACGTCTGATCGACGATTTGGTTCATCGTGGGCGTGTCGAGACTGCTAAAGGGGACAGGTTGAATCTAACGCCGCACCGTTCGCACGCACAGAAATTAGACATAGCCGTCTGACGCCAGCACAGGCATCTCTCAAGCGCACTGCAATTTTCCCTCGGCATTCTGGGTCAGACATTGTCCGCTTACCGTGAGACATTGCTGGCAGGCCAGCGGTCACAGCAAAGACGAATGTCCACAGGGCAAAAAAACGAGAATGGGAAGAAGTTTCAGCGACTCTTCTGAAGGAGATGGGAAGCGGGCATTTTTGCTGCGTGCTACAACACAACCAAGAGCAGAACCCCTTTTCACCCCCCTGTCCCTCTCCGAACGGTGCGGGCGCCTTCAGATAGCTTGCGACCGCTGCCCGCCATTTTCTCTGCCCGTCCTCTTTGACTCCCTGGCTACTCCTCACTCGTGCACAGAACCAACGAGCCTCCCTACAGTGTTATTCCTTCCAAAATCCCCCCCACACTCCACGACGCTGCTTGTGGCAGCTAAGCCTCAGATGACATCTGGTGTTTTCACTGCAGAGGCCAGTGGGACTCACATATCCAACATAGATCTAGGAGAGAGAGGGGGAGAGAGAGGGGGAGAGAGAGAGGGAGAGAGAGAGGGAGAGAGAGAGAGAGAGAGGGGAATACCACGCAAATCAGCAGCGTCCTTAAACCTGCATCTTTGCGCAAAAGGCCTCCTGTAGTCTTTGCAGTGCTCGCTGGCGCCCAGGTTCGTGGTTAATTGCGGTCCAGCACGCGCACGTAGACTCTGGCCAGAAGCCCCCTCAACGCGTCGGGCTCTGCGTCAGGCGTGAGGAACGGTACTGAAAAGACTGGTCCAAGTCCATGCCAGCTCTGCTGCCGTCTTCGCCGTCTTGTCCGTCAGCTGTGACGGGCAGAGGCAGCAAAGCGAAGCGTTCGTCTGTGACATCGCAGCCGTCACCGTCTTCAACTGCTCGAAGGCCAGGAAGGGAGTCTGCGCCATTGGCACACTGCTTCGCTGGTGTCGAGATGCCATCGCCAGGGCCAGAGGCGTAGGCGTAGGCGTAGGCGTCTTGTCGCAGCGGCAGTGAAAGAGACGGAAGCTCATACGCAACGCCTTCGTCTTGCCTCTGCTGCGCCGTGGTCCGACACCTCTTCCTCTTCGCCCTCCCGCCACTCTTCTGCGTCATGGTGATGGACTCGATCTCCCCGGCCATCTGCGACGGCAAAGCCTCATCCGCAGGCGCTGAGCCGTCGGGATAGTACAGCGACCTACATCCAAATCAGCACCGCCGAACGCAACCCAACCCAGCATCCTCCCACTCATGAAACCAGCAGCGCCAGCCAAGCCGTTCGAGGCCCTGATGCGAAAAGACTGCGAGAGAGGAAAAGAAAGCGCACAACGAACCGTCTGACGATATCCGCGGCATCGCGCTCGCCCACCCCATGCACGCGCCGCACGTGCTGTTTAAAATTGTCGCGGCGCGGCCATATCTTGCCGCTGCGCGTGCAGCCGGGCCCGACGCAGCGGAACGAGGGTGTCATGGACGGTGCTGCTGGCCTCCTCGTCGACGCTGTAGCAGCGGCGTTTTTGGAGTTTGAGTTGGAGGAGGAGGTGGTGATGGTGGAGAAGGTGGAAGTGTTGTGTATCGCCATCATCTCTTCCGGATGCACGCTCTTCTTGTGCCGGTTCAAGTCGTTGACAGTCGTGAAGCCGAGGTTCTTGCCGCGCGCGCAGCCCGGGACGCTGCACGTGAAGGGCTTGCAGTGCTTGCGGCGGTCTTTTCTGCGTACGTCACCTCCTGCTTAGTTCATCTTGCCTTTAAGCGATGGAGTAGGAAATGCCAGCGACAGAAAAGGGGGGAGTCGGGTTTTACGAGGATAGAGAACTGGATGGGGATGTAAGTAAGTAAGATGGATACGCACTTGAGATCCGACGCACACTTGAAGTTGCAATGACAAGTGCGGCAGTGAAACCGCTTCGTCCTGGTCTTCGTCCCCATCGTCATCGTCATTGGCAACGCCATTGCGTTCTCGTCCTCCCCTGGCGCCGCTCCGTCGCACTCACGGCAAGATGCCGCTCCAATCCCGTCCCCTTGGACAGAACGAACCCCCCTAGCCACCCCGCCACCCCGGCCGCTCCCATCAGACAGTGCCATTGCTGCAGATCGATCCAAAGGCGACGTCTCAGAGACGGCAGAGACGTCGCTGGTGGCGCGGAACTGGGGAGCTGGCTCTGGAACTGGCACATCGGGAGCGAGTAGCGGCGCTAGGCCTGCCCATTCGCTCGTCGTTGCTTGCACGCTGCTCCATGGGCCGTCGGCGTCGCGATAGAAGCGCGCGATGGGGTCTGCGAAGATTTGGTCGTTGTCGCTGCTCAGAGGGAATGGTCGGTGTTGAGGTGGGAACGCATGATTTAACAAAGAGTCTCGCTCCTGGTGAAATGGAACGCCATGAACCTCAAAACGGATCGCTGGCTCGAGTCTTGAGACTGTCCGGCTAAGGAAGCCATGCTGCGGGATCGGGTTTGCGGACCTGGTGGCAGGTGAACGATGGTATGGATCAAGCTGTGGCGGTATTGTTGGTAAGTGGCGAAAGGCGTGGTGGTCTGGTTCAGTCCAGACGGGGCAATATGACTACAAGCTATCTATCAATAAAGAGTCTGCAGCCCAAAGAGGGGTTATATATGTTACCGACGCAGCGCCATATGCAGCAAAGGCGGGAAAGGTCGCCTGGGACATGTCTTGAAATCAAGACGACGACGACGACGCGGAGGCGATGCAGAGAAGTAATATCCAGGCATAAGGCTGGGGACCAAGCGCAGGGACCAAAAACAGATGGTCAAGGACGGCAACGCAAGGCCAACGCAACGCAACGCAGAACAAAGGCGTTCCCGCCAGAGCGGTTGGACAAACAGAACAACAGAACAACAGACAGGCAGGTAGGAGGGACCATCATGACACATTAGTAGTCTTGCGCCTTGTTCACCGCCGGACGGGCAGACGACAGCCTCTCTGTGTTTTGATTGCACAAGAGCCGCAGTAGCGCGCCCGACACTGTGAGATTGAGGCACAGACGAACGAAGACCCGTCGACTCACAGCCACTTGCTGCCTGCCTGCCTGCCAGCCTGCTTGCCCTGCTGATGGATGCGGCTGCGCCTTGAGCGAGCCTTGCTGCAACCCTGCCTCCAGTCAGAGCTTGGGAACGTCTTGCTCTCGGTCAATTGCATCACGACCCTAGATTTCTGGGGCCAAAACTCGAGAGCGGAAAACGCCGCTTACACCCATGGCTCTACTGTTTGGGATACTGGGTTCTGTCACTCATGTGCATTCCATCCGTCCCCGAAAGCGTGAATGGAAGGAAATTGATCCAAATAGGGGCTTAGCCAAAGCAGACCATACTATGTACAAAGGTTGGAGTCTGCAGAGCTTCCCCAAACGCGATTTCCCCTTGCGTGTTCGTTACAGTCCTGGGTAAAATCCCTGCTGCTGCTGCTGCTGCTGCCTCGTGTACGACGTAGCAAACAGTTCGAAGTCATCCTCTACAAACTGCATCGTGTCACCTTGTCCATACGGCATCGAGGCGGCCGTGAACGTCCCATTATCCGCATAGAGATTCGTAGGTAGGTCTGCTCCAAAAGATGGAGCTTCCACTGGGGACTGGTACACTTGCCCTGACGGCACAATGTCAGTGACCAACGCTGGAGCTGCTTGAGGATATCCGTCATGCAGTTGCTCTTGCGCATAGAATTCATTGTTTGCAAATGTGCGTGGTTTGTGACCGTAGGGGCTGAGGCAGGACTGATTTGCAAAGCCGGTACCATTATCGACTGCGTAAGTCGACAGATGCTGCTGTGAGACCTGGAGCGGCTGTGATCGTGGGCTGGCAATTTGCGGGGGCGGGTATGTCATGTTGTTTGACGGCGATGTACCCAGAGTGTTTGTCAGGTCGGAGGAGTAGCCAAGTTGCCAATCCCTCGACGGCGCATTGACTGCCAGATTGAATCCATGGCCAGCCATGTCACCCACAGGTGGAGTGACAGCAGACTTGGCTCGGCGTCGTTGAACTGGATTGATCTCGACAGGACCGAGGATTGTGTCCGCGTCAACGTCGTGACTTTCAACCAACTGAGTGATGGGCATGCTCATCACCTCCATATGCCTTGCCAGGTGGGAAAACACGGACTTCCAGCTGGTAGACCGAACGCCGCAAAAGCGACACGGTTCGTCTTCTGG